CCCATCTGGAGCGGACGAGGTGGACACGGCCAGCAGCGCCAAAGCCAGCGAGTGAGGAAGGGCCTGGGGCGCAAGGGATGGGCGGGCGGGGTGGTGGTCTTCCTGCTCATCTCCCTGCTCCTCGTCATCCTTCTCCTCCTCCTACTCCTCCTCTGCCTCCTCCCTGCTCCTGCTGCTCCTCCCTCCTCCTGGTCCTCATCCTCCTGCTCCTCCTCCTCCTCCGCCTCCTCCTCCTCCTCCCTCCTCCTCCTCTCTCCTCCATCCTACCTCCCCACTCCTCCCTCCTCCCTCTTCCTGCTCCATCCTCCCTCCTCCCTCCTCCCTCCTCCCCCCTCCTCCCTCGGGGCCGGGGTGTGGTGGTGTCCGGGAGTGCCCCGGGTCCTGCTGGGGTGCCCGGGGCTGGGGGTCTGCTCCTTGAGGCTGGCTCCTGTCGCCGCGAGGGATCTGCTTCGAAAACCTGGCCCCCCTTGCCTCGGCATCGGCCCGGGGCCTCCCGGGGGGTGGAGGGAGAGGGGGGTGGGAAGTGGGGGCGGGCACCTCTCTCTCTCCCCCCCCGTCCCTCCCCGCAGGCAGGGCCGAGTCCCGCAGCCGAGCTGGGGTGGGGGCGGGGGTGCCGCACTCCGGGGAGGGCCTCCTCCGGTCTTCTCCGAACGCCTCGCAGCTGCGCCCTGCGGTGGCCCCGGGGTTGGCTCGGACGGGCGGGGCCCCAGCGGAGGTGAGCGGGCGCTCTCACGCTGCTCATCCCCCCTCCGCGTTTCTCGTTGCTCTCCCGGCACGGAAGGCCACCGGGGCCCCCTTGGAGGGATCGCTTTGTCCCCCCCGTCCCAGGTCGGGGCCGCAGCCGTTGCTTTCTCCTGTTCTGGGGTTCCCGCCCCCAGGTACGGGAGATAGGTATTGCTGGCCGTCCTGGGGTCGTGGTGGGAACAGGCGGTTCCCCCAAGGGGAATCCTCCCCCCGGTGGTCTCTCGGACCGAGGGGCACAGTGACGCTGCGGTACTAGGCCCCCGCGACGGGTGGTGAGCTGTCCCCCAGCCATCCCTGGGCGGGAGGTGCCGCTAAAGGGGCTGTGCCCGCGGCCCCACCAGATGCTTACCCAAGCCACCACCACCACCTCACCCCTCCTCCTCCCTCCTCTTGCAAGATCCTTGACGGCTCGCGCCTTCCCCAGGGCTGATGGCCATGTGCTGCTAGCTTGAGCACTCCCGCCAGGTGAGCGGCAGTGAACGCTGGGGGATTCTCGTGCATTAGGGGTCCACATGCGAACCCTACCCCTAACCCCCACGATTTCTGAGGGGGAGGGTGGGGTTCACTTCGCTCGGGAGCTCCCGAACGAAGTGAACCCCACTCTCCCCCTCAGAAATCGTGGGGGGTAGGGGTAGGGTTCGCATGTGGCCCCTGATGTATAGAAAGGGTCCCGAGCTGCGCCTGTACGTTCCGGCGCACATCGTCAACGGCGACCTCGGGGCGCGCGTTGCAGACTTTGCAGCGCCTTTTGGTTCACTCGACGATTTTCTTTTCGATAGCGGACCCGCAGCGCAAAGTTTGTCTCTCGCCGCCGCCGACGCCGCCCATGGCATCTGGCTCCCCGCAGCCTGTGGGGGTGGAGCGGCAGCCCGCGGTGGTAGAGCAGACCGAGTCGGCGCCGGTGAAGCAGCTCCGGCGTTGAGAGCGCCTGCGCCTTGCAGTGGAGGCGCAAAAGGCTCTGCAGGTTGAGTCCGAGGTGAAGCCGCAGGTGGAAGTGCAGGTGGTCTCGCTTTTTTCCCCCCCACCTGGGGATCTCAGGGCGTATCCCAGCCAGGCTGCTGCGGACAGGGCGGTCTCGCCCTCTGGCATGGCCATGGCGATGGATGCGGCTAGGTCTCTGGAGGCGCAGGGGACCCCTACGAGCACTACTACTCCACCAGCGCCCAGGAAGAGACGTCGCAAGCGTGTGGTGAACGACCACGCACGCATCCTCCAGCGCATGACGGAGGAATTGCCGGCGGGTTCGGAGCCCGACAGTGTGGAAATCCCTGCTTTGGCGACGTGTTGGTGGCCTCCTCAGCCGCCTGCTCCCGTTACGCCACCCACACCTCCAACTCTGCCGGCAGGAATGAGAATCCCTCGGACGCCACCTCGGAGGTGAAGACCTTCTATCTTAGCGACGGGCCACGTCCCAGTTGATGGTGAAGGTGCAGCCCCCGACACGTCAGCCCGTAATGGCAGTGGCATTGGTCTCGCACCGAAGTTCGCAAAACAGGGGGCCTTGCATCATACCCGCCCCGTCTGGCGTAGAGAAACTGATACTCATAATGATACCGGAGAAAACCGAATCCAAACCTTTTTAGGGATATAAGACTACGGGGCTATAGGGCGATGGGGCTATGGGATTATAGGGCTGTGGAACTCTATAGGTCTGTTGGACTATAGGGCTATAGGGCTAAAGGGCTACGGGGCCATAGGGCTATTGGGCTGTAGGGCTATAGTGCTATGGGGCTATAGGGCTATGGGGCTATGGGGCTATAATGTTAAAGGGCAATAGGGCTATGAGTCCATAGGGCGATGGGGCTATAGGGCTATAGGGACATAGGGCTATAGGGCTACAGGGCTACAGGCTATAAGGCTATAAGGCTATAGGGCTACAGGGATATAGGGCTATAGGGCTATAGGACTATTGGGTTATAGGGCTATAGTGCACTAGGGCCAGGGGACTATAGCGCTTTTGGGCTATAGGGCTATGGAGCTATAGGGTTATAGGGCTATAGGGCTATAGGGCTACAGGGCTACAGGCCTATAGGGCGATAGGGCGATAGGGCTATAGGACTATAAGGCTGTCAGGCTATAGGGCTATAGAGCTATAGGGCTATTGGGCTATTGGGCTATGGGGTTATTGCGCTATGGGGCTATAGGGCTATAAGGCTATAGGGCTATAGGGCTATGAGGCTATAGGGCTATTGCGCTATGGGACTATAGGGCTACGGGGCTATGGGGCTATAAGGCACCCGGGCACCCAGGCACCGGGGCACCTGGGCACCCGGGCACCCGGGCACCCGGGCGGACCGCGGATATCGGTGACAAACCTCACCTAACCACATGAATTTGCGCGAGACATTCTCGAATTCGCGGCATATGTAGGTGTGCTAAGCCGAGGTATCGTCGACACTGAACGGGGCTCGCGTCCCGCCGTGGTTTCGAACCCAACCGACCCCGCCCTGGACGTCCTGGACCTCCTTGGGACCCCTGTGACGCCTGGCGGTGAGGAAGGGGGCCACTGGAGCCCCCCCCCTCAGCCCTTGACTCGCTCAGGCCGCTCTGGACTGGGGGGGGCGTCAGGGTCGACAAAGCTAGGGGTGCGGGGCGCGAACTCGTGTTCCGCCATGGTTTTGTGCTTGTCGCAGGTGTGCTGGTATGCCCGCGACAGGTGGTCTGGCTTGCTTGACCAACGTCACCCTGGGGCCAACAGAGTGATCGGGGGCAGGCTTAGTCGATTGTGGCAGGGAAATCATCCCACCACGGACAGGCCCATCTGGAGGTCTGACCTCTTGGGCAGTTCGTAGTTTCCTGGTTTCGGCTCGGGAACGCCCCGAAGAGGCCAAGCAACACGCGGTAGCAAATCATCGGGGCACTGCTACCCGTTAGCAACCTTCAATCAAGCTTGAATCCGCATCCTCCTCCTCCTCCTGGTCTTCCTCCTCCTCCTCCTCCTCCTCCTCCTCCTCCTCCTCACGCCGACTTGGCAAAGGAGATGTTCGTAAGGATGGTTCTCAGGAGTTGGTCCTGGCGGTGCGCAAGTTTAGAGACGACGTTAGGCCGCTAGGGCTCATCATCATTCAGCCAAGCAAACCAGGTTGTGTGGCCAACTGTGCGCGCAGTTGCAAGCGATTAGTTCGACATGTTCGTACTTTCGGGATCGCCAAGAGAGCTGCGATGCGTAACCTGGGGCATGAGATGCATGACTCGAGGGTTAGACGTGTGCAGGAAAAAAGTCGCATACGCAAGTCGCAGGCCAAGCGTAAGAAGGTTTGGGGTCTCAAGCACGCGGCTGGAGAGTCTGCTAAGACCCTTTCGAGGACGGGGCTCCTTCCAGCTGCTGGGCATGGGGCTGGGGCGCCTGGGATTTCGGACACGTCTCTTCGCGAGCTTCGGACGTTTGCGGGAGGTCTTGCGGGAGCCAAGCCCAAGGCATGCCTGACTTTGTACCTAGCCACTCAGAAGGACGATCGATTCGACCCGATGTTTGATGCGACGGTTCCGCTGATAGGGCGTGACTCCGCAGCGCTGCGGGAAGGCAGAGTCGATCAGGCACGCCTTCACCGAGCATGGGCTCGGATCAGTGATAGAATGGCTAGTCGCGTCATTTGGGCTGGAGCTCGAGGCCCCATCCATTCCGTCTGGCTCACTCTCTTGAGAGTCGGATGGTACATGGTGTCGCCCACTGTTTTGAAAACGGGCCACGGGACCCTGATCGACTTGTTGCGGTTTTGCCCATGGGATGTGCGTCGCCTCCTTGAAGAAGGCACCCGTCGATTCCAGTCGAGTCACATTCTCGTGCACGTGCCTGGAGGAAGACAGGAGTATTGCTGGCGCCGTGCGGTGCGAGTAGCTCTGTTCAAGCTTAAGGATGCCAAAAGGCAAGGTGCATTGCGAGCACTGTGGGCTGCAGGTGTGTGGACGCCAGTGCGTTTACATTCGATTGACCTGCGGTCCAGGCCAGATTGCTTCATGCGCAAAAAAATGTGCAGGTACAGAAGCCCACCAAGGGTTCGGATGCCCCGAGGCTCTCAACGTTCCCGACGAAGAGAGGCCTCCCGATGATATCCTGGAGCATCGTGATGTCATGATCGCCAATCACGGCTCTGGGCCCCAGGGCCTGGAAACTTTTTACCTTAGCTTTGGGCTGCCGCCCGAGCAACCACTGCCCGAAGCTCCCTGTGCGGAGTATCCTGTCCTTGGGCGGGGGGGCTGGCGGGGAATCTGAGGGGGGGTACACTGACGGGTCTGGCTTCGCTTCGTCGACGCCA